CACGACCTGATCATCAGGTTCCTGAGAGGAGCGAGGAGATTGAATCCTCCTCGCCCTCCTCTCGTTCCCTCTTGGGACCTCTCAGTGGTCTTAAATGCCCTGCAGAGGGCTCCCTTTGAGCCTCTGCAATCAGCTGAGCTTAAGATCCTGTCGATGAAGACAGCGCTCCTGGTTGCGTTGGCCTCCATCAAGAGGGTAGGGGACCGACACGCATTCTCCGTTGACGAAGCGTGCCTGGAGTTCGGGCCCGGTCTCTCTCACGTGATCCTGAGACACCGGCCTGGATATGTGCCCAAGGTTCCCACCACTCCCTTCCGGGACCAGGTGGTGAACCTGCAAGCGCTGCCCCGGGAGGAGGCAGACCCAGCCTTGGCACTGCTCTGTCCAGTACCCGCACTCCGTGCTTACGTAGACAGGACGCAGTGTTTCAGGACCTCAGACCAGCTCTTTGTCTGTTATGGTTTTGAAGCTGAAGGGAAAGGCTCTCTCCAAACAAAGGTTGTCTCACTGGATAGTGGACGCCATTGCTTTGGCATACCAGCAGCAAGGTCGACCATGCCCCCTTGGTGTGTGGCGTCGGAGTGTGGCGTCCTCTTGGGCCTTAGCGCGTGGCGCCTCGCTGACAGACATCTGCAGAGCTGCAGGCTGGGCGACACCTAACACATTCGCCAGATTTTACAATCTCCGAGTGGAGCCAGTCTCCTCCCGTGTACTGTCTTTTTCAAGCTAACACGGGAACCGTTAGGTGTCTTCGCTTGCTCGCCACTCCACTCCGCGGACTGGATACGTGCGATATTTCCTCAGGTAGCCTTCCTCTCTGAAGCCCTGAGTTCCTCCAGCACTGTTGACGCTAGCGCCAGTGTCTATTGCCTGTGCGTCGGCTAGGTGCCTCCGTGTGCATGGTTCCTCCTCCGAGCAACCCCCACATGTGTATTTCCACCGTAAGCCTCTTTGAGCATGTGTCTTTCCCTCGGCAAGCCACCTTGCCACTCCTGGAGTTGAAAGTAGATGCCACCCCACGGGCTGGTCACTCCAGTGTTTCTCCATATGTAGCCCCCTCGGGCCATATGTGTATTCTTAAGTCCTCCCTACGGGTAGGCATGCTGCGGCATATCTCCCCTGAGATATGCTTCCCAGTGTACCTTGGTATTCCTGTGTTAAGTAGGACTCCTTCGTCCGTGCCTATATCACGACAGGGAGGTCAGACTTCGCAGGGCACTGGAAGACAGCTGTGAAGGTGGCGTGATTACATGGGGACCCCCATTCTCCGTCATCCGACGTAACTCGGAGTGACTACGAAAGGGAACGTCTCGGTTACGGATGTAACCCTCGTTCCCTGAGTTACGTTACGTCTCCCTGCCACTTCCGCTGTACCGCTGGGTAGACGCCTGAGTTCAGTCTCGGCTCCTCAGCGAAGACATGATCTGCTGTTGCAGGTGTCTCTCCTTAAATACTCACGCGGTGAGGCGGAGATACATTATGCAAATTCCGCAGACCCATGGCATTAAATGCCATTGGCTCGTTTTTTAATACTCGAAGAGGATTGGCTTTCTGGCGAAACCCCCATTCTCCGTCATCCGACGTAACGTCTCCGTTCCCTACTCAGTAAACGAGGGTTACATCCGTAACCGAGACGTTTCTTGTTATTATGATTGTGGATTCAAATAGATCATCCTTTTGAGAAAAATAAGCAAGCTAACATTCTGTGCAATCTATCTTTCTTTGTATATATAAATTTAATTCTACGTCTTTTAGTTTGTCAAGAGAATTAAAGCACCGTTTTGGAAGAGTGTGCATGTGCGTGTGTCCTTTACCTCGGAGTGAAGTAAGAGGGAAACTGCGCTGGAGTCAAACATCTGGAAAAGAAACAAAACAACGGAGAACAAAAATAACAAAGTAGTTCTTAGGTGTTATGTCTAATTTGCATATATACAGTGCAAGCCAGTACTGTTGCATAATACATTTTGTCTATTTTCCATGATCATAGGCTCAACTATAAGCTTTTGTTATTATACTAAACATCTCAACATGTTGTTCTGCATGCTCATGGTTTTGTCCATGGGGGTGAGAGATTGTAGCCATCTTTGTCTCATGTGACTCGTAAATAAGGACCATGATACTCCAGCACATGTAAAATAAACTCATATTATGGACGAGAAAAAAATCTTGATCTACATTTTTGCAGTCCCCTTTTAAAGGAAGTGAGCAGTAAGACTGCTAATCCTTTTTCAAAATACTGAGTTGCCTTTGACCCCCAGGCTCTGATACAAGACATAATTTGAGTAGAAGTTTCTATGTTCTTTTGTCAAGCTCTTCTTGAGATGAAAGGCTATATGACACTTTAATACTGTTTTTTTCTTCTTCTTCTAATTACTATAGAAATGTATGGTTGTGCACCTGTTGAGCAACCATAGATGTTTCCTAAACTTTTTGTGGTGTGCACAAAGAAAAGAATCAAAGAAACCTGATGCATAATGTCAGATCTGTGATAACCACATTAACAGGATTAGAGTCACTGTAGAATTAGTTGTTTGGTCAAGCATTATATACCAGAAGGCATTATTGCCGATCAAGTAGTAAATAGAAATAAAGAATCATTACACTATAGCTTCACCCTTCAGTGACTGCAAGCGTTTTATTATTACACATAATTTCAATTGCATAATTTGCTTCTGAAGTCTCCATTCATTTTAATAGCATGGATTAGAAAGAAGCAGAGTATTAAACTTTTTATTTTTTGTATGAATTAATCCATCAACAATTTCATTTAGTTTATTCCATGCTTACACAGGTGTTTGTAATGCGCTACAGGGGTGAACTCTTGGCATTCAAACAATCATAAATGAAGGGATGCCACTGGCAAATTACAAGTGTATCGGTGGAACATTTAGTGTCTCTCTCTGTGCCATCTGAGAACAACTAACATTGATTGTTGTCTGATTTATGTTTGATATCTGAGGTGTGAAATTAAAGTCATAAGTTCTTTGAACGTTCATCCTCAACAATACCTGCTGTGCTACATGTATGCTTGTGCTATAACAATTTAATTAAAAAAACGTTATTGCTCTATACATGACTTAAGTATTTTAATAGATTAGGGGGAGTAATGACAGTTCTCAGACTTGTTCCATCTTGTGAAAAGTGGGCAGTCATTTATTTAGGCCCAGTAAAGGACCGACACACACCTCTCACCCAAAAAGTACAATTAGTGACCCCAATGAAGTCACCAATGTTTCCCACTTATCCTAAAAGTGATTAGATGGCACAACGGTCATCATGACATTTGAAGTCGATTTAGTTACCAGACCATGAAATTTCTCGAGGACACTGCCAGTCTTCTGCGGCCTGGTCCCGGCAAAGCTCCAGCAGTGAGTTCACACAAGATGAGCTGGCAGCTATAAATCAAAGGCTTCTGTTGAATTCCAGGTGTGCACAGGTGCGCCCACAGTGGCCCGTAAAGCGCATGTTAGCTGGGGAAGACTCGGTTCAAAACCGTCACACTGCTAGACAGGCGTTGATGTTAAACGATGAATGGTTTGGCAGTGAAACAGCGCAGTTTATAGGAAAACATTGCGGGAATCTTAATTAGCCTTTCAATGATAGCCTTTTGGCATTAACAGTTGCTGGCAGACAGCATGATATTAAACTCAAGAACAGAAGTCAGAGTGAGGGCGAGGTGCATAGGCAATGTTCTGCCATCATGCCGAACACCTGGCTGGCGGTTTAAGTTAACTTACACTTTCTTGCAATGCACCCTTACAGGTGGCTAACACGCTCAACTGCATTACATAGAAGTGATGCTGGAAGGTAATATTTTGATCCCTGCACATCTGAAATTAAGCAGCCATGATAACATAATGGGGGGAGACACACATTGGCATGATGACAAGGAAACGCAACTCTGAGACGAGAACTTTCACAGAGAGTTTCTGTTAACTAAATGGCTTCATTGTGAAGGGAAAGTGAAGGCGTAATGAACGGAGACTACTAGATGAGGAATTTGTCTCCCCTTAATTGTTCTTCTAACACTTCTTGTCTCCTCCATCTACAAGTGTTAAGCTCTCCAACGTCATGCCATTCAGAATGTGGAAAAGAATCAGGAGCCTGAGCCAAAAGAGAGTAACATCCAAAAGGTTTTTCAAAACCACACAATATTGTGATTCAGCTCATGGTGACTGGGTGTCGATGTTACTTTAACCAAGGCTGTTTGGCCAGCTGCCCTTTCACACTGCTGCCTATTGATGAGTTTTCATCCGATTCTCAAAGGAGCGTTTTGTGGCGATTATTCAAGGGGTGATGCTAAGATCTTTTCTAACTTTTGGATCGAAATTCCTCTTGACATCATCCTTCACAATGGCAAAGCCTCTCTTTTTTGCCACCCCTTTCGCCTTTAGAGGGAACAAAATAAATAGCATCCAAAAGTTAGCTGGATTTTGCATAGTTAACATTTCGCTAATGGGCAGGCCTGCTTCTCAGGGAGACTGGACAGCATTTTTGGGGGCCACAATGGTGTTGTTGTGGTGACGGCGCTGGGAAGTGAATGAAGCAGATGTCAGAGTAATCCATCACCCCTCTCCCCCACCCCTTCTCTCTCTCTCTATCTGCCCATTGCTGAGACACCCTCCTCACTGCTACTCATCAATTAAAGCCCTACACCAGCCCTACCATTAACATGCAAGTACTTTCGTTAGCTTCCTCCCTGCCCTGCGGTCATCCATGTAGTAAAAACTGTCAACCATAACTTAACAGCAATGGACGTTTTGCCACTTGTTACCACTTTACTAATTTGAGGGACTGTCAAGCTAGTGATGACTCTGTTTTGGTACGACGTAAGGCTGAAGAATGGTATGGGCAATGTGATGATTCAAAATAGCAGATCATTTAGTTCAAGTCAGGTTTATAAAAACCGATTTAGCTATTTATGTTTACCCTATAAAATAAATAAAAAATATGCCTCGGAAATGTTGTGACCCTCTTGGGAAATAAAGTAAAATAACTGGTGCAAGCCAAGGAAACATTTATTAACACTGTTCAAAACATAATGCACAATTTATGATGACACAATCATGAAGTACAATCAATTTGGCAAAACATCTGTTGAAATCACTGATTTTGCAAAAAAAACTGCATCAATGCCATCCTGTTTTTAGACTCTTGACAAAGCGCCATGCTCAAATTCAGATGTTCTTTGGTAAAAACCCTTGGTTATGAATTTTTCTCAGTACCAGAGTTTTGTCCCAGGGTTATTTCACTAGTTTCCCTTACTGATCCCACATCCAGGACCTTTGTCATGAAAATGCAACTCGAATGTTTGAACACCAGTATGATCGTCTTGTAATATGCAATCATTTCATCATTACGAACGTACTTGGTTAACTACACCACTATGAGTGATACTTCATTGAGATGTAGTTTACATAAACTTATCAAGCTCAAGCTGGTACCATGACACAATCACATTGTTTCTAGCTTATCTCTCTAATTTCTGTCCATCTAAAAGGACATTGGTTGTGGGTTTTTCCTTTACACAAAAATAAATAAAATACTCATATAAAAATAATCTCTTACAAAATATATGTCAACACAGGGACAATCTGTCTGAACAACCACATTTGCTCACAACACACAAAATACTACTAGTATTAACTACCGTTGCAGAACAGAACAAAACTAGCAGCAAAAAGTGTTATATTACCTATAATATATAACATTAATAGAATTGGTTATCTGATCTCAACATTCCACATCAGTAGCAGGTGGGGCATCTGTATCGAGGCTGTTCCATTCCAAAGTGAATTAAGTACCGAATCTCTTTCTCTGCCAACAGAGCAAATATTAGCCAAAAGCGAGGGGAGCTTGTGGCCTCATTAGCATAAAGCTTTGTCAATCGAGGTCATAAAGTTTAAGTGTAAGTGGGTAGAATTTAGTTCCCATGTAAATACGCTCATTTTGCTTGGGCTATTCCAATTTGAAGCCATTTAGAGCACAAATGTTCTTGTGGACCAATGTTAAAAAAGAATGACACTACATTTATTCGCTTTGGAAGGAATGAGCCTTTAAACATGATGCACAATTCCAGTGTGTATTTGTACATATGAATATATGTGCAAGGGTTGACACCGAAGGAGTGGGGGAAATGGAAGCACAAAGACTCACAATGATACATTAAAGACAGTATAGTCTCGGCTTTCAGAGACTAGTAATTACACCTTGAGTGCAGCGCACTTGTTTTTGCATCATGCATTGTCGTCGTTTCATCCCTAAGCTAAACCACATGATGTACAGTGTATAAGTTGGTCAGTTTATTTCCATGCAAAACACAATATGAAAACAGGAGAAGAGCTAAATCTAAGCTAGTAAACAATGAGAAAAATCAGTAGTTTCCTTATTAAATAAATTAACATTAGCCATTTTCTCTAAATTAAAAGTTAAATATCATCGTTGTGTCCATGTATGTTGTAAGATTTGTAACGTCAATCCCTCAGGACAAAAAGCTCCTCAAAAATCCCTTCTGTACTATCTACGGAGCAGAACGCCCTCAATCACACCCCACATCTTTCTCATGTCCACAGATCAAGCCTTTGCCGGCTACTTCGCTCTGTTGCTCAGTACTGGAACAGAAAGGTGTCTACTGGTACCAACACCGAAGCCTTCAGCAGAGATGTGGAGCAAAGCTGCAAACATTGCATCCAATTACTCCGTCTAGACTCCACCAGACCCACGTTTTCCAGTGCAAATGGCTCTTTCCTCTCAATACCTGGAATCCACAGCAGTGGTCATCCTTGTTGCAACACTTGCACACCCTCTACCACATAAATCACAGGCGTGTATCAATACCCCAGCAATAAATATTTCACTTGCACGTGTACACTTCAGTCCGTTCACTGCAGGTGTTGCACTTGACGTAGCAACACCAGAGAAACTTGCAGTTGCACTGCCACACACGTGAGTACTGGTGTGTGTTATATCCTCGGCCACAGCACATGAGGTCGCAGCCATTGGCTTGCTGCGCAGTCTTGTTGCAGATCCTGCCCTGGGTTCCCATGCTACCCGTCACTGGATCTGCCTCACAATAGTTGGGCGACTTCTCAATGTACACCAAATCCGTGTCCATGGGCTTCCGGTACGAGTAAGGCTTTTTAACCTTCAGAAAGGTAGGTCTCTTGTTCCGACTGGCTCGGACCGGTTCCACATGCACAGCGTGGTTATACTTCTCCTTAAGGATGTAACCCAGCTGCCGGAACTTTGGGAGAGTGGTCCAGCAAGTCTTGGTGGTGCAGGATCCAGATACACCATGACATTTACACTCTAAACGCATGTTCTTTTCCAAGATCTAAGGTGGGAGGAAAAATAAACAAGTCAATACCTTTGGGATTACCTGGGCACCTAGGTTCCTTTTAGGAATCTTAGCCTAAGGTAATTATGAAAGTAGACTGTTTGATGACTCATTGTTGATTTAGTTAGTCTGACTGGTGACAAATTTGAAGTGTGCAATCATCCATTCCAAAAGATAGAATTACTGATGCTAAGCGGAGAATGTATGAGGAAGGAAAATATCTTATTTACGGAAAAATATGTGGTAGTTTTGGTCATAAACCATGGTTTAAACACTTTGCATATATCCACATCATCTACTATAAGGCATATTCCAGCAAACTGTATAGACTAACGATACAGTAGGGATTAGTGAAGTTACCCTCCGTGGCATACAGTTGGGTCTTTTAAAGCACATTTCTGGGAACAGGTTGAGACAAAGGTTTTTTTTTTAACATTCCGATTTGAAGAATGCAAGGATTGTTAAACTTGTAGTGCTAGACAACCTAATTCCTCTCGTTCTGTAGAGAAGGCCTGCAAAGCACAGCTTGTGTTCACAGGCTCTCTGACTACTTGTAGGAAGCCGTTTCATTTGTGTACACAACACACGCCACAAATTGTTGCAAGGGGCAAACTATCAGAGGTTGTCTGTAGGAGTCTCTTGTCTTGTATAAGCAATAGAGCGGAATCTGCACAGGATATGATATAAACACTGACTGAACGATGATCGCAGAGTTCCTACAACAATCAGGCTGTGTGTAGTGTACACAGATAAAGCTCAGGAGTCAGGTTCCAGGTGCCTGTGTGCTTCCCCTTGTTATACCCACACACGTCAAACCCCACAGGTAAAAACAAAACATTTTGAGCAGCAGTGTAACCGAGGGAGGCTGAGATCTTTTTCTGACCGGTAGTTATTTTTCATGTGAACAAATGCTAAACATTAATGTATTTCACATACCCTAGCAGTGCAAAAAAAAAAAAAAAAACGCATAGAAAAAGATAGGTTGGCTCAGAATAGATGAATGAATGGGCAAACGTAAGCAGAACTCAGTGAAGCAGAGTGCCTGTTTTGATATGAAAGATATCCAAGAGGTCTGATTGGCATCAGTGGATTGCCTGTTCGAGGCGGCATCATCTTTGGTGTGGTCTGTTAATGTGTATTTTCTCTCCCTCTCTTTCTCTTCCTTTCACTCTTTTTCACTTTTGCTGGGTGGGATAGGCTTTACCTTGCTTTTTAATTATTTTTCTCTCTCTCTCTCTCTCTCTCAGACTTTTTGGAGTCCTTTTGGCAATTGTCTGCAATCTTGGATGCATATCAGGCTTAGTGTGTTCATGCTGCTGATTTCTGATAAACAGTAAGTCTCCGGAAAAGTTTACAAAGGAGAGATCCATGCATTTTATGAGAGGCCACACCCCTTTCATTTTCACTGAGGCACTTTATAGCAATCCATTAACTGATCAAAATAATGGGTGTGGCAAGTTGATGCCACAACTCTCCTTTCATTGAGAACTGTTCAATGAAAAGTAGAAAACTTCATCTGAGATGTTAGCTCACAAGGAACTTGTGAATTGACAAGCACAGGACTGAATGTACTTGCAATAAAGAGAGAATTGGTGCATGTAAGGCAACAGACGGTAGAACATATTTTTATGATAAAAAACATTACAAAAGGTTACTGGTCAGGCTTAGGGGTTTAAAGCCCCATAAGAAGCTCTGTCCAGAGTGCTGAAACATCACACTCTCCAGATTAGCACTGAATGATGAAAAGCTTATGAAGGTCAGTCAAACTAACTGGGGATTCTAGGTATGCGTTTAGATGTTTTTTCTTCAATTACACACCAAAACTTTTTGACTTCAGTGATTGTAAAATCCAACAGTTTCTTGAATATCTTACCAGCTTAACCTTAGCCCACTATCTAGTGAATTACATCTCCTTAACGATTTCTGAATCCCTTAAAAGGCACAATTACAGTTTTGCCATAATCACAAATTGCTGGTCATGTGCGTGCCAAAACGGAAGTGGCATTGCTACTCCTTGCTATTACTAATCTACTACCCGCTCCAAATCAGAGAAAATTCAAGTAACACAGCCTAGTAGGATTACAAGAATGTAAAACATTCTAGTAATGTTTTTATGCACGTCTTATAGAGTGTGCCACATACCTTACGTCCCACTTCATTGTTATGGAGGTTCATGAGTGTCCTGGCGTTCTGCTTGATCTCCCGGGCGTCTACGAACACCTTTGAGAAGCTTAGACCGTAGCGAATATCAGCCGAGCATCCTCCCCACTTCCAGCCTTCCTCCTGGTTGTAGAAGCCCTGCTTCTCCTTGTCACAGCCACAGCCGCTCAGCGTACCCTGTGTGCAGGCCGCCGTGATGGCATGGGCGACCCCGGCAGCGATGATGGCGTAGGTGAAGGCTGCCTCCTTACTGCCTAGAACCAAAAGAACATTCTATGTCAGTATTTCTGACAACAAGATCCAGTTATAGGCAGTTTTAAACCCCCCTACATACCTGACATATCTTGACACTCAAAGCAATAATAAAATGCGTTAGTCGAGTCAAGTGTAGTTCATTTATCATGCACACTTCACACTGATTAACAGTATGGCCTCGGGAAGATGACTGAGAAAAGTGTGGTAGGCCTATAAAAAAAATTATCTAGAACCCACCATAGGCTAAACAAACACGGATCACATACCTGTGATTACTCAACACACAAATAATTGTCCTTCAGTTGTCATAGAGAGGAAACAGAAAGACAAATAACTGTTTGCACACAGATGAGCAAAGGAAGGAACGGTCAATCTCTTTAATAAGCACAAAGGACAAGGGTTTATTTCAGAGACAATAGAATGGTAGAGATAGAGGGTATGTGTTTAGACTCTAGTCTGGCCACTGTCCCAGCTTCCGTCAGAACGAGGGATCCACCCTGTGGAGATGAACTCCTCAGGCATGCAGTGCCTCCCTGGCCAGAGCACTGCTATAATTGATTGCCACTGTTAAACAGGGCACTTCCAGGTTAACGGTGTATTTCATTTATAAGGACAAAGATAGGTCTGAAAATCCAGCAAACAGTTATTTCAGGGACTCATTTTGTAAGGTGACATCAAGCAACAAGGAACTTTTAGGTGAACTATTAACCAAATTCCAATTTTACAAATGGACACTTTCACTATTCCCTTTTCTTATTTTTCTTCTTATATTTTCGTTGTCACTGTTTTAATGCTGCCAGCAAAGCACTGGAAAACAACTGAAAGCTATGAAAGTTGCTTAGGATAAAAGTTCAAATAAGAGTCCTAACTACATGGGATTTTTTTTTTTTAAAGATGCATTAACTGTTGCTCAGTTATGTTAACATTCCCGGAAATGTAAATATCCTTTTCTGGATTAATGAGTCATCATATATTGACTGTCCTAAGAATCATTTACACACCTGGAACCAACGAAACACTTAAAACGTTAACCTCTTTAGGCCTCATAAAGAGTGATGTCATGAGTTATTGCAATTAATATATTTGCTATCTTTTAATCATTTCATGGCAAGAAGTGAAAAAAATATATATATGTCAGACTGTTAACAGACCGGCTCAGCAATTCAGGAATTTTCACCTTCAAGCAATCAAGAAACTTCAGTGGTTTCCTGAAACTCGCTAGCATTGGTATGTGTTGACCTGCTGATGATAAACATCTTGGAACTCTGCCCATGCAATTTAACAAAGGCCAGTTTGGGGCATCAATTATGTTGAGATTTTTATGAGTTGTTTGGGCTTGTCGCCAGGGGAGAAGGGATGTATCCTGAGGAGAGGAAAGGAAAATGAAGACTGTATTGACGCGAAATCTTACAATTCTCATCAAAACTAAAGTAGAATGCTCCTTGTCTTTGTATATCACTCCAGCTATGTTTACTCAAATCAAGATATTCTGAACACAAACACAGCAGATAAGACACCCATAAAACATGTGTGTTATGACATGAGTGTCATTCATTTTCGAGAGAAATCTGAAGCAGTGGCATTGCATGATTCTGTGCGAGACGTCTCTTGCCAAAACTGTAAATGCAAGAGGTTAATTTATAAACCTCATACAATGTACTTGTCTGGACTTGAGGCATTAATGCTGTTGGAGGAAAACTATTTTTGAGCATACCAGAGGGTGGTTAAGTCAGAGAAGATTTAGGAGGTTTGCGCTCAAGCAACAAAGTAACACAAGCAAAAAGATGATACGCCTTTCTCATATCTGTCCAACTGCTGATTTCCAGCAAGCTATATTTCAATCGCAACTTCATTCATATATACGATAAAAAGGTGAACGGGTCCACGGGTACTGGAAAGGCAAAATGTGCACCTAAAAGAGGAATCTATGGCCGTGTGTGCCAAATGTGGACCTTGGTACCAGGCCCTGAAAATTATTGCACATTACTCAACAACTTTTTTTTTGTTTTTTTTGAGTACGCAAGCCCCTCCCCCACAGGATTAACTACTACTTCTCATCTCCTACCTTCTACTACTATAAGCATGACTAGTCATACACCCACTGAAACCAATCATGTTTGAACGGTTGTCCACTATATTTAATCCTCCCGTATACTGACCATATACAAAAAGAGTCTGGGTAAATAAAGCAGTTGGGCTGTTTCAGAAATGGAGACCACGGTTTGTCACTCTAGGTCAGCGTCAGCTCTGCAGCGCTTAGATGAGAGGGCACACAACACAAGACCTAAAGCAGCTGTCCAAGCAGACAGCATTAAATAATATAATCAGCACCCACAACAAATCCAGGCTGCCATTCAAGTGTGTGCAGCTCCGAATGAGATGGAAAGAGACGAAACCCAGTGCTTTTTCTTTTTTTTAGAGGCGCTTGTCTTTGATGCAAAGGGATAAAATACAGCTTCACCTTCAGCGATAGATACAAGTCTCTACAGATCTTAGCTTTTCCCCTGGGCCTCAACCACACCATCGCAACACTGACTGGATCCTAAGAGCGCACAGCAAAAAGGAAAGAGGAGAAATTTCATTAAATATTATCTAGGAGTTTATTTCCGATCTTCCACAGAAAAAAACACGCAATAATGCAAACTCCTCTATGCTAGCAGGAAAAGAGGGTCTGAAACTAAAGCGAAGTCCTTCATGTCACCATTCATCAAAGTGTCGTAGGCTCAATAGCACTGAAGGACCCCTTAACAGGCCAAAGTTTGCCTTAGGAAAATGGATAACATTACACCGAGTGAAAAACTCGCTTAATTACTTTTGCTTTGTCTCTCTAAGGTGACATATTGTTAAATTTCTTCACAATACTGTACTTTCTTTTGGTCCTACCATTCAACCACTGTAACTTATACCCGTGGTAAAGTGAAAACCCTGACTGCCAAATCATTCAAATCTACAGATAAGACAGGACGACTAGAAAAAGAATTCTTTTGAGAGGGTGGACTGTTGAGAGGGCTATAAATCCAGCCACGTTGGCACTTGCTCCATGAATGCAGCTGAAACCTACCTGACATCCAATGACAAATCATTTCAAATGAGATGTCAAAGCGAGGGAAGCAGGACACAACATAATGTCATTCCAGGACCCAAGTCTTTCCAAAATTTGTCCAGTCTCTATATAATATTTGTAATAAAGAAGTAATAAAGTAAGAGTATTCTAGCAGGTGGCCTGTGATTTCACTATTAAAAATTACAAAAACTGTCAATCTTTCAGCCAAACTAAAATCTAAAGGTTTCTTCATCCACACTTTTAGCCTAAAACAGCTTTGTTTGGGCTTTTGACTTGGTGATTTGGTCAAACAACATTATTTGAGCTTTTCTCTCTTTTTTTGTTGTTGCCTGTAATAGGAGGCCGCTAGTTTCAAAATATAAACACTTCATTTCTGAATACTGTAACAATATAAATGTAATAATTTGGTAACATACCCACTTTCAACTCTTTTCCAAAGACAGTTCTTTCCCCGAGGGCCGAGCAGTTCCACCTTCCATTTTTGAATTGAAACTGACACTCATTGATTCCCATTTGCGCTCCTTCTCCAATGACAATGATAGCGTCAGGCCGGCTTTGACAGATAGTCCTTTGACGAGGGGCCAAACCAGGAATTTTGTTACAGATAATACTTGCTCCCAACGCAACCACGGAGGAAAAGCCCCTGTAAATTTAGAAATAAGGGTTTATATGTATACAGAAAATTTTAAATACTTACATTTTTTTCTGGAATCATGGGCCATGACTAAAGGATAATTCACAGTATACATGGATGGTAATAAAACTGAGCACTAAAGCACTTTGGGAGACCATTGAACTATGATATGGATGTTATTATTTGAGTATCATTACATTATTCATTACATATTTAAATATTGTTCTACAGGGAAAATAAAAAAGATAATTTCATGGGACAATGACGTATGTTCGAGATGATAAAAAGTAGAAATCGTTTTCAAATGTAGTGCCAAGTTCTTAGAAATGTCATCATTTTACTCCTGTTGTTTTTATACATTTTCTACAAAAATCGAGTAGTATATCAGTAAACACTTTTTTTTTTTTTTTTTTTCATAAATATGAAGTTTGTATAGGGTTAACTCCATTGGACATGAACAAAACGTCATTTCATAAAGTAAAGAAAAAAATATTATGATCTTGACACAATGAGGATGTTATAAAGGGGTCCTCTGTGTTCACTTTTTTTTTTCTCATGGCAACAACAGTCAACGTTTGGTTAGGCCACACACTGACTTGACAAAAGTTTTTCCAAATATTAATATGTAAAGTATAGGTGGTTTCCACTTTAAAAGCCCCTCAAAAAAAAAAAACGTTCATCATACTTTTTTTGAAACAATTGCATTTATTTTTTAAGTAACTGAATAAATCCAGACAATAAACGTCATTGAGATATTTCAGATACATACAAAAAAAGTTCCACTGTTCTTGTTTCTTTGACTATATATATATATATATATATATATATATATATATATATATATATATATTCACACAACTTTATCAAATGCAAGCGTCATAATGGCAGTAAACCGACAATGTTAGCAATAATTAAATTCTCATCAAATTTAGGCATGTATAACTAAAATTGGATTTTTGCAAAAATGCTGCAATACGAAATACTTTACATATTAAAAAAGATAAACAAATTCCATTTTACCCTACTTACCCAATCTTCAAATATATAATCCCCAAACAGAGGAACATGTGAAAAATCCAGCGGCGTGTTTTTCTGCTCATGTTCAGCGTGTACTTTGTTAATAGACTGTGAAATGATAGTAGTCTCCTAACCGGTGAACAAGAGGTTTTATCACAAGCGAAGCAAGTCCTTAGAGGGATGCAAAACTCCAAGAGAACTTGACGTGAACACCTGAGCTGATATCCTTCGGGACGCGTGGAGATGAACGTTATTCTGCATATGTACGACTTCTGAATCACTTTTACGCGTTTCGATTAACTAACAGACAACTACCCGATCTTACAGCACCCTTTCCAGCAGATCCTTTATCTGTTAAATCTATCAGGGTGTGTTCTGAAGGAAATTCAACTTTCCGATATTCCTTTTATAAGTCTTTGTGCTCCTGAAGCCGAGTAGCAGGTTGACTTCAAAACACACCGCAATCACGCGCGTTCAACCAAACAACACAAGTAAGCATTGAAGTAGGCTACGGTACGTATGGAGGTAAAAAAAAATCTGATTTGAGATACGACAAGCCAGTAATAAGCTATAGATATGTCACTTGGATTTATAGATATCGCTCGCGCTATAATACCATAATGACCAATCTGATTAAGAAAGGAATATTATATGCGCTTCTTGGCGAAGATCATATCGCAGTAACTCCAGCTTCTTAAACTGAGCTTTTATCTATTTTCCTGCACCCGTTTGCTCCTCCCATGAGAAAAGAAAACTTGTTCGACTTTAGATTTCCCCCTCACCCACCTCAAGCCCTTAATTGCGAGGTGAGAGATGTGTTCATCTATAGGCTACTTCACCAAAAAAAGAGGGGAAAAAAATTACCACGCGTACCAAAAACTGTACGGTGCAATAACTTTGTTCTTTAATGAAAGGTTAACACATTCCAATTCAATTAATAGGCTAACAATAGGAGCGAAGTTCGAAGGAATTTAGATTAAATGAATGTTCATAACTGAACATTTGTGTAAGCAGTGACTTTAACCATTAAAGCTCATACCTTTCCACATTCAACAAATCCAGTTATTACCATCCCAATCTCTTTAAAATAAAGTACAAATCAATAAATTAGAAAAAAATAATAAGACTGTAAGACTGAACTTTTTAAAGTGTCTTTATCAAATTTTCGGCCCTGTTAACATGATTTTTGATAGGAAACAAAAACAACTGATTTGATATTGAAAACTGGATATTTGTAGATATCCGGCCTTAAATGTTCTTCCTAGTGGCTAAATGAACTGTCGACCCTGTTACGCAAGGCTCTATCCCAACATATATAAACAAGTTTAGCTTGAGAAGGCCTAGTGCAATTAAATATATCAAGAGTTTGACTGACAAATAAAAAAGACACGTTTTGTGGAATGACCCGGAAAACACAAATCAAAGTGATTGATTATTTCTGTCTATCTTATTGCCGTTTAACATAAATAAAATGCATATTCCTTGTAAATTACTAGATTCAAATCTATGGAGCGTTGATGTTTGGGCAACAAACTTTTAAAATCCAAGTCGCGCGCACGCACGCACGCGCACACACAAAAACACCAGACCTATTATTAAGCAGTTCATTATTTCACATAAATAATCTGCCACTGGAACATTTTCCAAAGATTCCCCATGAAGAGATATCAAAAGCAAGTCTAGCTCAAACGACGATTAAAATATCGCTAGTTGCTAAGCAACCATTCATCCCAGAATTATCCACAATGCAATTACCTACAGATCCTTCAAACATTCATAGTTTGGTGAATTTACTGTACACCAAATGAATATAAACCTATAGTGGCATAATAACAGGCAACAGAATAGAAATCCAGCACATGCTGGATTACAAATTAAAGACACCCTGTTAACAGAGGGCTGATCATTCGGGACATACAGCATCTCTCATCCTGTAGATTCAGCCATGTGTTCAATATTTATAGACCATACAAGAGCGCCATCTCCAGGACGAATGTATGATGCTGCTGCGGCGACAAGAACAACCTCTTATTATATATCATACACTTTTTCTATTAATCAAGGATTGCATCTTCCCCTCTTAACCTGGAAATAGTCTGTTTGTAGTCATTCATTACATAAATATCATTCAGTTTGAATCAATGACAAACACTGGTACATTTGCAAATACTTTTATTGCATTAGAGACGTGGAAAATGTTTTGATTAAAAAAAACACTACATCAGATTTTCTAACATAATTAGATGCGTTTCTGCCCCTCAGGGAAGGCAATACATTGTATAGTTATCTTCTACACAGGATAAAATCACTACCCTACAACTATACAATCTACTACCTCACACTGCGAAAGCATCAAAACTATTACCATTACACACAAATTATATTTCAAACAATAATAAAACAAAACATACCGTGACAATGCTATCATTGATATTAAACATCAGAAAATGTTGGATGAAACTCCGTAGGTAGCTCCGTTTTCACTTTGAGAAAGACAGTAGGCTGTATAGTTATCTCCCAGTGTGGGTGTGACCCTAAAACTATACAACCTACTACCTCATCCCACGGTGAACATGTCCTCTTCACCTTCTTTCCACCTGGAAGTGAAGTAATGCAACTGGATAGTAGCAGAAGTAACTAAACTGATGTCTTCCCCGAGTCCTTTTTGCCCGCCATGTTAGGATTTCCAAACACAGTCATTCTGTGGACGGGAAAAAGGTTAGTGAATTAAGGTTCATCAATCTGCTGACAAAATAAACCGACTGTTCAAAACTCGAAATAGTCGCTGTTCTCATCGCACAACATTTAAAGTTACTGTGAAAGAAAGTACGGATTATGAAAAAAAGACCCCAACCGGGCATCTGTAGGACTACAAAATGCTCCCTCGAACTGCAGCCGACACCACGGGTAATGCAGCAAAATGGAGGGGCTGGCAAAGTCACTGGCACCCTCTCGGCACCGGGAAGCCATGTTGACATTGTGTGTGACTTGGCTACGTACTAGCATCTCAGTCAAGATTAAATGCCGCCACATTCGGACTTGGGCCCAGTTTTGCTCTGGGATAGATGATGTCAGTAACAGCAGGCAAGCAAGAGGGAAGCAAAGCACTCAAAGCCTTGTCTTGTTTTCAGCCATCTTGTTGGTAGCTTCTTGTAGGTGCGCATCATTCTAAATGCTATTTCGTGTTTCTGAACTATCTTAAGTCTGTTTCTACAAAAAGCATCGATCATTTTTCATAAAGCATGTGTTATAAACTATGATAAGCATGCACATGTGAACAGTAACTGAAATATATAATAAATATTACTGTCACAACAATAATGAACTGTTCCTTTCTGTTGTTTTTGCAAAAACTGCCAATGTTTTCATTCTGATTTGTTACCCAATTGGGTGATTTGTTCACAAACTAGACATAATATATTGCATTGTATTTTTTTTTTTTGTCGCATGCGGTCAGTGAGGACCACTTGATAGAAAGTTAGAATATTGATATTTATTGTTAATATAATATTGTGTATATTGCACCATGGAGCTGCAGATTCAGCTGTGGTACAGTACATCTCCTGTATGCACACAAAACACTGATAGAATGACAACTTGACATTAAGCAGTTGGTTATTGCAAATGCTCTGTCAAAGCAGAAGACAGTGGTAAAAGAACTATTCAGAGGATCTGGCTGTGAATCCATTAAATTTGCCCACTTGGCATTTGACAACACACACCTAAATTACATTCGGGCAGTTCTGCATGCTGCATATTCAAGGGACAGTTCACCCAAAAACGAAAATTCTGTCATTATTTATTCACCCATATGCCGTTCCAAACATGTAGCCTAAGACTTTCGTTCATCTTCAAAGCACACATGAAGACATTTCAAGGAAATCTGAGAGATTTCGGTCCCTTCATTGACAGCTACGCATCTACCACCTTGACATAAAGTTCATAAAGAGATCATAAAACTAATCCATATGAATAGAATGGTTTAGTCCAAATTTTCTGAAGAGACACAATCTCGTTATATGTTGAACAGCTGAATTTAGGCTTTTATTCACATATAACACTGATCAGCGAACATAAACAGAAGCTCAGCCGAAACAGCTTGAGGTGTGAGGACAAACCTCATTGGTTCACTAGCAAGCATGCTTGAGCTTCCATTTACCATTACTGATGTTTGCGTTGATGAATATGTGAATAAAAGCCTAAATTAAATATGAAGGGATCTCATCTTAGTTTTACGATCTCTTTAATGACATTTTTGAAGCGGCAAAGTGGTAGTTGTGTGGACTGTCAATGGAGGGACAGAAATCTCTTAGATTTCAATAAAATATCTTTAATTGTGTTTTGAGTATGAACTAAAGTCTTACGGGTTTGAAACGACATGAAGTGGGTGAGTAATTGATGCAAATTTTCTTTTTGGGGTGAATAAACCACCCTTTAACCCCACTCAGCAAAAAAAAAAAAAAGAATACTAACGTTAAATACTTTAAGTTACTTAGGCCTATATATAAATTGTCAAATTGACTCACGTCTTGCAACGTCTGTTTGTAACTGACACAATCTAACTTAATTGTGCTGAACAAGTCCAGATATCTTTAACTGTATCTTTAACTAAAGATATCTGGTAAAACATGCTCCACATTCCGCATGTATTAAGATTAAAGACTCTGCTGCTCTTTTGAAGACAGTCACATATCAATTATTTTTAATTAGAATGGTGGAGGTGGACTCTATAGTCTCTTAGTTTGTCCTCTCAAACTCTTTGTAGGTTGCTCAAATTTCCCTCGCTTGATTCATAAAAAAATGGCGGTCTCCAGTGGCTAGCCTGCTAATACAACGTTATCCACCAAATATATCAACCCTCAGTACAAGTAGAAACTCCACGGCATTTTTGACATACACGACACTATACAATTCTTCAGAGCACCGTATGTAAAAAGATATCAGCTCTATTCAAATAGCGTGCTAGGATAAATGTCCCTCACACACTAGCCAGCAAGCTAGTTTACACATCGCTCTTAAATAATGAAGTAAGCAATGGAAACTTCTTGTAAAGTTTATCGGACGTAAGAAAAAAACAGATACTACAGATACAAATACGCGATAAAACCGTAACGGTTTCCTTGGTAACAAGAGAGGACTATTTTTACACACAAACGCGCTGTCATACCTTCAGTGTGTCCTCAGTGGAAGCTGAAGGCTAGTCGGCTAATAGCGATGAACACCCGCGGTCAGCGTCTGTGCTGAAACTCCAGGACCCGGATGATGAACGCGTAGAGGACTGACGAGCCGGTGACCTCCCTGTGAGGGAGTTGCTGATTTTTATTTTATTTATTTTTTTAAACATTTGTCAAATGTTAAGACATACAGTGTTTTACCTAGACAACATGCATTTTTTTATATTTACATAAAATTGAAAACGTTTATTTATCGCACTCAATGCACGTTTGCTTCTGCATTTAGCCTCATAGCTACTGCAGCTTCCGGTGCATCGCAGTGTATGAAAATTGTGAGAAAATTAAGCAAAAAATTCACATCAGAACAGAGCAATACTGACACGATCCACCTTCATGTTAAATGTATTTAAATCTTCCGAACCCCATTACAAACATGTTATGGTTTAATATAATATAAATGTAATGTTTACCATAGTTAGAAATATATAGGCCTATGTAATATATCATATTATTTATAATATAAGATAATTAGTTGGTATCGACAATTATTATAAATATGACAGAAAGCTTGCAACTACCATGTAAGAATAGAATAGAATAGAATAGAATAGAATAGAATAGAATAGAATAGACGAAACAGTTAGGCTGTTGGCGTGCATTTCCATTGTCTAAAAAATCCATACATTTTTTAAAGTGAAGTTGTTGTTTTTACCAACCACCAGGTGGGGCTGTTGATCTGCTTATACAGTCTTGATTGAAGCTGGAAGCTTCTCATGATGAAAGTAAATCACTATTAATACTCATCAGCTGGATTAAAAACACTCACCGTTGATTTAATCAATGAGTAACACACTGAATTGCAGTGTAGTCATTCAATTTAATAGTCATTCAATTTTTTAAATAAAATAGTTAACTAAACTATAGGCCTATGTTTATAATAAAGAGCCTTTTTTAAGCAAACATCGTTGAAAGCTGAGCAAAGATCCGGGAGAACAAGAGTGTGCCACAGTCTGCCATATACAACCATTCAAACAAATATTGATACACTTAAAAAAAAACAAAAAAAAACAAGACAGTTGGGTCATTTCGTGTCAACTCATCCAGAGGTCCCCAGCTAAAAAATATGATTTTTTTTTTTTTTAGTAAAAGGAATACATAACTGATGAAGAAAGCCCAAATATGAATGTCGTGGATGTATATGTACTGAGTAATCCACTGTTTTGTAGAGGTGGGTCAAAATTACATTTTCACCTGAGATTTGGAGCTAAATTACAGAGGGGTAAAAATGACTTTAGAAAGATGGCAGCATCATTATTCTATATTTACACTTAGATTGATAGGTCTATTAGTGAAATCTGTTGACTTTAGCAATATTTGTTCCATTATAGCCAATGTAATCAGTTCAAAAATGGTATAAATACAAATAAAAGCACTTTTTGTTTTTTTGCCCGAAGTTTGCATGTCTCTAACTCAATAAGTATTGAATTAATATGCTTTTAGATTCTGGTAGGTATAACACACTTTTCTTTTGGTATCTTAATTTTTAAGGCCCAATATGGTTATTTTCCAGAGATATAGGGATCTTAATGTGGCTCCATGAGTAAATTGGTCAATTGTACACATTTTCAGTTGTCAAAAACTAAATGTGGATCACTTTGTATACAGCTGATGCTTTTTTCTTTTAAAGAGGGATATCTTAAGAGCAAATAATGTTGAAACTAGAAGTATCATGTTTTTTTTCTATCAACACAATTGCACAGAACATTCTTAGTTCCATAAATATTGTTTTTCCAAAGTTTGCGTGCCTGCAACTCACAAAGGATTAAAGATATCTTGAATATCCTTCTAGATTCTCATTCTTAATAAACGTTTATGATTAAATCCCATAGAAATGGGTATCTCAATGTGGCTCCATGTTCAAATTGTTGAATTTGAATCTTTCTAAAGTCATTTTTTCCCTCCCTCTACTAAATAGTGGATTACTCAGTAAGTATATTGACATGTTATATTTTGGCTTTCATCCCACTTTGTCTTTCTTTAAAAAAAAAAAAAAATTTGAGTTTGGAAGATTTGACACGGAATGACCCAATGTGATATTATATATATTTAAAAGGTCTAAGCGAGTCAAGAAAGTTTCACAACTTATAAGACCAAGACTATTCAGCCACGTTTAGGTATAATCGGAATAATGAACAAGTTGTAGCATAGTATCAGATGTGTAGAAGCAATGACGTAGACAAATTATATCTATTCTATCTGTAAGAGGATATTCTGAACATATTTTTAGAGGCTTTTTGTCTGGTTTACACCTAGCACTGTCTTGACCTATGAAACATAAAGTGCTAAGAACACATGCTGTTGTTTTAATATTCACACCCGAGATGCTACGTACATCATCTCTGAAGACAAGGTTTCCAAATATCTTTATTTCCTGTAAACTGATAAAGAACTAAATAAACCTGAGATGAACTTCTTCAGTCACAGCAGCGCTCTGAATAAAAGTGTTCTCAGCACAAACCCAAATTCAGATTCATCTTCATATTTGGCATACCTTTCAATTAGAATATAAAACACCATTTATCACACTCTGGTGGATTTATGGATGGAAAATTACTTTCTGACCTAGCAGAACACGAGGCAGGAAAAAAAGGGCACACTTTTACGCAACTGGAGTTTGTTTGATGCACTTCTGGCAGTAATTACAGCTGCAGGGCAGCTCCAGAACAGCCTGAATGAAAAGATCCAGACACACAAGACAAGACAGAGTCTTATAAAAAGCATTCTGTGTTTCAAACATGCCAAGTACTTTTTAAACTTCATGTGTTATCTTGCCTTATTCAAAAGCTGGAGTTGGTTGGAGAGCAACACAAAAAATACAGTAGGAAACAGAACTATCAGAATTATTATTTGCAGCATTAGCTGACCCAGGTGACCCCATGATTGCAATGGTGAGGTTTTCTTTCATGAAATTATGATCCAGAACACAATGAAAATGAACAAGATTTATTTAATAATGTAATAAAGAATCTTGGTTAATGGAGGCAAGGTTGAATTAGTATGTTAATAAGACACTATGCAAAAAGATACCATTCAGATCTTTATTTTATAGACTTGAATGAAAAAGTAATAAATAAAAAATATTTAGGGCCAGATCCACTAACATGGCAAATTAGCATAAGAGCGCAATCCGATAAAAGTGTTATCATCAGGATTAAATCAAGCTTTTTAGGGTGTTAAATAATGGCGCATAGGAGTAAATTGACTAGCGCAAACCTTAGTAATGGTAAATCGCGTTGCCCCCGTTGCGTGATTCATTTATAGTCTCCTCTCCTCTCATAAATTTTGCATCTGAAAGGGAAACTCCAACAAATGCATGTGCAATAAGGTCAGCTGCAAAAATAACTGCATCCAATCCTTTTCAGCGCTAATTTTTTAGCTAGTAAATCCTGTCAGTATTTTTTTTTTTAACGCCAAAAGAGGGTTTCAAACTGTTAGTAAATCTGGCCCATAGTGCTTTGGGAAAATCCACAATAATCTGTCTTTAGGAATCGGACAAGAAAACATCTTACAATTCTACCACAGACACGAATGAATAAACGTGTATTCTGCTGGCTACATGATATTTACTTAAATAGACAAGACAATGATAGCATTTTAGTTGACAAATTAGGTCAGTTTCAACACCACAGTGTTATTTACTAAAACACCACATGACAAACATATTCCTATTTTTTTTTTTTTAAGTTCATTAAAAGAAGCAGCTTAGTTATAAATAATGCCAATAAAAGGTAAAGATCATCCTGCAAAAGCCTGTACAGGACAGCATTTTGTTTTAGCAGGAATTGTATTGATACATTCTCAAATAAATTTATCAAGGCCATTTGATCAAGGCCATTTTGAGCTATTCCTAAAGTAAACTGTGTTGCATTATGAATGAAAGCATTCACTGGTCCTCTATTGTACCTTAAATACAAACCTTTAAATTGCAAAGGCAAGAATCAGCAAATCTGACTATTTGCTTCATTCAATAAAAGTATTAAAGACTGTGTCATAAAATGAGACATGTTGCACAGTGATATTATTTTGGTTTAGTCAATAATGAGGTACATTTGACATCATCCATCTATTCAAACAGTATTCTTATATGACAAAACACATTTTCATGAGAATCCTCAGTTCGTTAGAGCCAAACAAAGGCATAAAATAAATACATGACATACTTATTAATAAATAGTTTCCTCAGTTAGCTAATAAATATTGTGTACCAAAAATAAACTATTAAGGAACAAAATTAGAAAAATAGCCTTAAAAAAAACTTGTGGCACATACATGTATGGCAGTAATTATTGTTCTCTCACAAATAAAAGATGTTAAAATACATTATTTGGATGAGTAACCATGGCTAAGACACCACTGAAAACAGAAAAAAACCACTAAACCTGTTTGTTTGTTTCTTTTTTTCTTCAAAATTACAGTGCAGACTCCAGATTTCAGATTCCGCATCCAGTGTCAGGGTACGTGGGAAAAGTGGCAGGTCAGCTCAAGCTCTTCCATTGCTTTTGTCCTCATATCACTGAGGACAGGGATCATGACATCTTTCAGAGTCTTATAGATTACCCGCCCATTCTCGGAATCTGAGGAAATCTGGATTAGAATCACAGAATTAGGATAAACAATTAAAAAAATCCACAAAACATTCACTTCAATTTCACCAGAGGTCTGTTGTGAAACTATTTCGAGGCCATGACTTACCCAAGTAAATGCTTTGATTGTGCGTTCAAAAAAGGCATTCTCAACCTCCTCTGGTATTTTTAGCAAATGAGCAGCGCAATCAAGAATACACAGAAGGGTTTGTTTTTGTCCCTAAATAACAAAGACAAACAGATGTTTTAGCGTACACATAATCCATTTAGATGGTTTAAAAAACAAGTCACATTTGAAATTAAATATATGTGTTCCCACTTGTAATTCAGTTCGCTTGGTTCGTTTGGTCCAGACAAAAAATTAACATTTAGTCCTGGTCCGCTAAGCGTTCAAATTGGCATTTTTACAACAAACCTTAAGATACTGAACCTAAAGGCATAGGGATATGTTCACAACCTGATTGGTCCGCTTTTATTATGTATATTTGTTTCGCGACGGAACTTACCGAACATCCAAAACTATATTGTGTGCTGCTAAATGCGCTCGTTGTTTGTGCGTAGCCAACATATGATGGTAGTTTGACAAACATACATCAGAGGTACATATTTGGAGGAGGGCTTTTAAATATTGTCTCGGACAAAGTGGGGGGGGCTTGGAGTCAAAAAGGTTGAGAACCACTGCTCTAAAGACACTTTATGTCCATGTTTTTGGTACCTTGTCGAGTGAATTCAGAGCATCTTGGGGATTGAATTGGTTTCCAGCCAAAGTCTCCACATCCTCTTTTGTGATGATTGGCTCCTTCAGTTGCTCTAGCCAAGACCACATGAGTGTGGAGAGCACAACAGGATCTCTTTCGGTGCACAACCTCTCCCATGCACCTTCACGGGAGTTCAGCTCTGTCTGAGGGGCAACAGCAATTGCGGAAATGACTGAAAGTTACTGAGTTGCATTATAGAAGAACAGGATATGGAATTGAAGGTCTGAGACTCAATTCATCCATAAATGATGGAATAAAACAAAGCTCCTACCTGCCACACTGAGACTGTGCTGAGTTCCTCTCCATCAATGTCCATCGTGAGAGCTTTGGCCACAAACAGATGACGAGTCTCAGGTGAGAGTTCACTTTGAAGCATTAAAATAGGAACATCTGTGAATTGTTGTGTGGCATCAGAGGTTGTGTTTTCATTAGGGCTCGGGTGACTTTTGCCGCCTTGACACGTTGAGAACATTGTCCTGCTGTCACTGGTCTTCCCTAGAAAGCCGTAGGACATGCTACGCTTGGCCTCCTTCAGAGGTACCCGTTTTATGGAGACAGGAGAGCAGGATGCATGGCCTTCAACTTTTTTGGATTGTACCAGGGAGCTACAGGAACCAGTTAAAGGACTGTTGTTGATTTCAGATGTCAATGGGGACGACGGAAGTTCAGGGGTCTGTATAGCTAATCTGTTCTGCAACGAATAAAGTTCTGTAAAGTTTAAACCAGATTTGCTGCCAAGAGCATTCTGGGGACTTTGTGGTACCTGCACCCTTGGGTCCAGTTTGTGCAAGGCTGAGTCACTATAGCTAAGACATTTTCTTAAGATGAGCTGAGACTTGTAGGTATTGTCTACCGTCGGCCATCTCCAGAGAACATCAAACTCCTGGTCGCTACAGAGCGGCCGGTCATGAGGTGGATCACACTGCGGTCCTTTAAGAAGCAAGCTGGGTTGGTCAGGAGAGCGAGGTAAGGATATGGGAATCCCTTTCCCCCTCATCTCCTTCCCTAACTGCTGAAGGGCTTGCAGCGAGACAGTCTTCTCCACTTCCTCTGTGAGGTCTGGGATGTCCAACACCTCCTCTTCCACCGTTTGCCGGTCCTCTGCTATGTCCAGTAGGAGCCTGCAGACCAGGTGTATGATCTTTGGCATGTTCTTCATGTGTCGCGCTTCATAGCCGTGTAGTAGGTGCCGCTGACGTGTCAGGTACTGCGACATAGTGACTGTGTGAGCTTTGGGCTCGGCACACGAGAATACACTCCGCAGTGGCACGAGGAACTGGGCGAACTCTCGCACACACAACAGTTGACCACGAGTCTGGATGGAATTTGGACGTTTAGCTCTAACAAACAAAATGGCCTGATCTGCACTCATCCGGGATGTGAATACTAAGAAGCATGCTATTAAGACACCTATGAGAAGACGAATGTGCATGAAGGGAAGTTAATAATCAGATAATCAGTGAAATGGGTCAAAGCAAAACTACTGCAGTTATTTTCTAAAATTCTTAAGTTATCACTGCAAACTGTTCAATCAAAATACTGACCTGTTCTGCCGAGTCCAGCATGGCAGTGGACAGCCATTTTGCCCTCTTGCATGGCGAATGACATCACCTTCACCATGTCAAGAATAGTAGTCAAGGATGCCACGCCATAGTCTTTCCAGCCAAAGTTGTAAAAATAAACTGGAAAAAGTTCAATGCAAATCTCATAAGATGAAACAAAGTTGTGCATTTCAAGAAATTCAGTTCATTCAGACCAAAAATTGTTTTGTTATTTGCTTTTAGCACAGAATTCTTCAGTCACTTGTATGTCCCAGAGGTTGGTTTTTAGTAAAATTAACATTTCAAGATATCTTGTTACCCTTGTCCACAAAACTCAGACTTCCATATTAAAATATGAATTAGTAAATGTTAAATCTCTGATAATCAGAGAGTGAAATAAACTGACATTTATTCAACATTTGTGTAAAAATGTAAAATGGTGTCATTTTCACCACACTGAACAATTATAAAAACAATGTTTTTTCTAAAGTTGGTGTATTTGTTGCTCAAGAAGACAACCAAGTTATTAGATTATCACTTGTGAACAAAATATTTTTTATCATGCGTCATTTCCAATCAAGCTGCAATTTTGTCAAACTATGCAAAAAAAGTAACTCAAATATTACATTTCATATAGTAACCATAAAATGTTATTTCTTTTATTTTTAAAATATTAAAAATGTAATTTCCACCAATGTCATTTCCATCCTAGAATGCTATTAAGTGTAAAACATTATCTGTGATGAGGTGGAAATTTTCATTAAAGATCATAAAAGTCCAGCACGCCAAAAGAACACACAGTTGAAGAAACGCCTCAATATGTTATATACAAACATAAATTATCTAACACATGGAGGACCTCTTCCTTAATTTGAGAGACGTTTCATGCATGTTTGGACATGCTGTGCCTGGAAATAATAATGTGCTGGAAAATTGTGCCTTACATAGTTTGCCTATAAGCACAGCAGCACTCTCAGGAGAGCTTATTAAGGGCTTCCAATCCCCCTAAGCCCCAGTACCTGAATGGAAGCTGAGCAACTGCATGATCACTATGTTTAGAAAGCAAACATTGCTTAAAAAGGTTCTTTAGCTTGTCAAACATATTGACAATTGAATGTGATAACAGTGAGGATTTATCCCAGCCTGATTCCCCTGACTGATGGAGGAATAAGTGTATGTTTGAGTACATGTGTGAGCTACTCACTCCCTGCCTCCATGAAAACCTCTGGGCGATATGTGAAACTGCTCTCTGGCTCCAAAGCGCTGCCGCAGCTGGCGTGTTCCCCTGGACGCTGCAGGTTGATTACTGTCTTTAAGCCACACCTAGAAGGACGGAAGATTAAGCATCAGCAAAGTCATCCCTGGTGCATCTTGGGAATCACTTACTGGTAGCTTGCCGCCGAGTTCAACATACATATGAAACTGTTCGATGATGTTGAATTTTTCAATAATTTCAGTTGAAGGTCTTGCCATGGCCAACAGGTTATCAGTTATCCTGTGAACAGAGTATGAATTAGATATCAACAAAACATCTGACAGAATAACATTAATACAAATATTACAAAATAAAAATAGAAGTGTCAACTATTTATTAAATAAATAATTAATTTTTCAAAGGCTATATTCATGGGAAAAATAAAATCCAAGATGGACAAGTAGTTTGTAAAATGTATTTATTTCTTATACAGAGGTCAAAGCGCAAAAGAATAAGAAGTACTCTTTAGGTACCAAAACATTTAGCTGAACATTGCATAATTGGCCTCATAATTGATGTGAGCTTTTTACACTATATTTTTGATGTGTGTGGATATTGATTTTTCATTCTTCAATCTTTGAGCTATTTTTGGATCTATGCACTTAAAGGCTTATTTCCCATCCATTTTTTCCCGGACAAGTGTTTGGCGCTACGCTATTTCCTTTTCTTATTTATTTAGGCGTATCAGTATCAAAGGCTATAGTCATGGAAGACAAGACAAGACAAAAGATAAGATGGACTGACCGTCTGTCCAAGATAGTCAAGCAGTTAGGAGAATGGTTGGAAAATAAAAGCTCAACCTTGTCCCTAACATTTTCGTTGCCTTCAACTAATAGTGTATCTGAGTTGTGAATTGTGTAGGTCTAGCACAATAAATGGATGTTGACTCTGGTAAATATTTGATATGTTCACTTGAAACAATACAGATTTACTCTGTTTCTTCTGAAAAAAAGAGCAAGAAGACAGCTTACCAAGAGGAGTACAATCCTTTGATGGCTTGCTCTTTGTCGCTCCAGCGAGAAGGGTTTTCGTATTTGCATGCTCGACCACCACACGCCATGGAGCACTGCATATGTCCTGGGATGACATGCCTCAAAGTCTCGCCTACCTTGGTGTACTTTGCAGTCGGTACTCTGACATTCACTGGAGAAATAGATGATGAAAAATTAGGATGCAGAATTAAGTCATCAGACCAAGTAGCTTCAATTCGAACATGGCACATTACACCCACAGCCTGTGATGTCAGTCTGTGCCTCGGACATGCTAAACGCCACAATAACCCTGTGTGAAGATGAAGTCAGAACTTCCACAGCTGAGCTGCGCCTCCTCCTCAGGATCTTCAGCAAGATCGCGGAAGCAGAGTGCCGACGTGTCTTTCGAAAACCCATGAAGATCTTGTCTACCAGCGAAGAGCAAGCCCGTCTCTTCATGTCTCTCGTCAAACACACTGATGATAACACTACATTCAGCACAGCCTGAGCAAACTAAGTGCTGACCCCAGAGCAGTGAATCATCGCTACACAACCACCTAGCTGCACAAAAGCGGCATAAGAGACCAATACAATTCAACCGGTTCATCAGTTGCACTTGAAGGGGATCTCCATGGTGACCAAGTTCGAAGTCAGTGGGAGGCTGTGCAGATCCGTGTGTGTGTGTATGTGTGTGTGTGTGTGTGTGTGTGGTCCCAGGTGGAAGAGAAACAGGATGATGGGTTTTATGTAAATGATAAAGACAGCTCTGGTTGCGTAACCCTGCATGCATTTCAACAAAATGAGGCTGAAATTACACCTTTTCAACTAATGCATTCCATCTGCTGCAGTAAATACAAAGACTTTATGTAACTCAGAACTCGGAATACTACATAAAAGAAAAGTAGTTTCATCATACGTCAGTCTATTCAGCCTTTTAAGAGGCTTATGAAATAATGGAAATGAGTTTGAAGTTCTTGTTAGCATGGCCATTAGAGTGGCCTTTCTCACCTAAACCACTTGAATTCAAAGAAGATTAAAAGGAGATGCATTATCTCTGTATTTAAAGGAGCCCATCGAGATGGAATGAGTCATTTAAAATAGATGGGAAAAAGGTAACAAAAGACTTTACGATGTCTGCGCCAGTCTTATATATGTTAATGTAGGCATGTTGTTACCCGTTATTACCCTTCATGGCAAAAAAATATTTTTATACACAACTGTTCAAAAGTTTGGGGTCGGTACGTTTTTCTGCTTACAAAGGCTGAAATTATTTGATCAAAAATACAATATAAACAGTAATATTGTGAAATATCATTATAAGTTAAAATAAATGTTTCTATTGTAATATATTTAAAAATGTAATTTATTCCTGTAATGACAAAGCTGAATTTTCAGCATCATTACTCCCGTCTTCAGTGTCAAATGATCCTTCAGAAATCATTCTAATATGCTGATTTGCTGCTCAAGAAACATTATAAATAAATCATTATCATAAACATGATCTTATTAGTATCAATGTTGAAAACAGTTGTGCTGCTTATTTCTTATGTGGAAACCGGGATACATTTTTTTTCAGGATTCTTTTGAACAGAAAGTTCAAAAGAACAGCATTTATTTGAAATAGAAATCTTTTGTAACATAATTATGCCTTTACTGTCACTTTTGAATAATTTAATGTGAACTTATTGCTAAATAAAAGTATTAATTAAAAAAAACTTTTTGAACGGTATATCCAAAACAATGAATCCACAAAATTTACAATTTGAATGGTACATTTAAATTAAAATCCCAATTATTGTATACATGCTGTATACAACTAAAATGTTATTGTACTTAATTACAATGCAAATATTTTCCCTTATGATCTGTTTTTGTTTTCAAGTGAATCAGTAAAGACAGTATAATACCTGGCTCCATGTCAGCGTTGGACTCTCTGCTGTTAGCTGAGCTGCCGGTGGTGTAGGGCAGGTCACTCAACAAACTGACGCCTGCTGCCATGGCCGACACTGAAAGGTGGAAGCAAACATGCTTTTAAAGCCTCAGACACAAAACAATGGCAAAGTAAATAGTCAAGACACAACAATAAATGAGGAAGTTGTAAGGCTGGTTGCCTGGGAGTTTTCCCTCCTGGGAGGAAATTGAACAAAGTCTGGTGCTGTGTCACACGCTGGATATAGTGTCACTGCAAGTGGAATATATAATGAGCGAGGAGGTTACAACCTCTTCTATATAAGAGCAGTGTTAAATAAATAACTTTATGCATTTAAGAGAGACCTTGACTCTTGAGGAACCAGACAAACAAATAAACCCTTATGATGTTGTTGTTTTTCCATTCAGACTAATCAAATCATTGAGATTTTCACAAGAATGAACCTTATAAAATATTTGGAGTAATACTACAGATTACCAATCTCTTATTGTTGTGTATATACTGTGAGGGATCTTTCACCTATATTATACTAGCATGTACATAGAAGCTATGGAAACTTCAATGTGTCAGTTTAACCCTACAGTGACCACAGCATATCATGTGTCAACGGCTGACCACTCATATTACCATTGTGACTGTAGCCATTACTTTAATCACAGGTAGAGTGGCAATGACTAACCATCTTGCTGAAAAGTTATTACTTGGGGATTTTCAAATTACTGCGTGTTAATGTTTCGCATGCTAAATAGTTTTGGTTTGACATAGGCAAGACGGTGTTATTGTACAAAATTGGGTTAAACTTCATTCCTAATCACAAACACTTCTAAATGTAACTCGTCTTAGTGCTTTCAAACTACATTCAATAAACTCCGCACAAACCTACTGACTGTTCAACTTACTCCTATACCTTTTCTAACTAACAATAAATATTTTCCTGTAGCTGATAATTATCTATCTATCTATCTCTACTATCAAATAGATTAATCGCATTTAACATATAATTGTATTTTTAATTTATCATAATATGTGTTTATATATTTTATATTTATACATCTATGTCTGTGTGTGTATATACATACACAGACACACACACACATATATATATATATATATACACACACAGACACACGCGCACACACACACACAGACATATAACATTAATATTTATATATATATATATATATATATATATATATACACACTCACCTAAAGGATTATTAGGAACACCATACTAATACTGTGTTTGACCCCCTTTCGCCTTCAGAACTGCTTTAATTCTACGTGGCATTGATTCAACAAGGTGCTGAAAGCATTCTTTAGAAATGTTGGCCCATATTGATAGGATAGCATCTTGCAGTTGATGGAGACTTGTGGGATGCACATCCAGGGCACGAAGCTCCCGTTCCACCACATCCCAAAGATGCTCTATTGGGTTGAGATCTGGTGACTGTGGGGGCCATTTTTGTACAGTGAACTCATTGTCATGTTCAAGAAACCAATTTGAAATGATTCGAGCTTTGTGACATGGTGCATTATCCTGCTGGAAGTAGCCATCAGAGGATGGGTACATGGTGGCCATAAAGGGATGGACATGGTCAGAAACAATGCTCAGGTAGGCCGTGGCATTTCAACGATGCCCAATTGGCACTAAGGGGCTTAAAGTGTGCCAAGAAAACATCCCCCACACCATTACACCACCACCACCAGCCTGCACAGTGGTAACAAGGGATGATGGATCCATGTTCTCATTCTGTTTACGCCAAATTCTGACTCTACCATCTGATTGTCTCAACAGAAATCGAGACTCATCAGACCAGGCAACATTTTTCCAGTCTTCAACTGTCCAATTTTGGTGAGCTCTTGCAAATTGTAGCCTCTTTTTCCTATTTGTAGTGGAGATGAGTGGTACCCGGTGGGGTCTTCTGCTGTTGTAGCCCATCCGCCTCAAGGTTGTGCGTGTTGTGGCTTCACAAATGCTTTGCTGCATACCTCGGTTGTAACGAGTGGTTATTTCAGTCAAAGTTGCTCTTCTATCAGCTTGAATCAGTCGGCCCATTCTCCTCTGACCTCTAGCATCAACAAGGCATTTTCGCCCACAGGACTGCCGCATACTGGATGTTTTTCCCTTTTCACACCATTCTTTGTAAACCCTAGAAATGGTTGTGCGTGAAAATCCCAGTAACTGAGCAGATTGTGAAATACTCAGACCGGCCCGTCTGGCACATTCAGTTTGGAGTTCAGGAGATTGTCTTGACCAGGACCACACCCCTAAATGCATTGAAGCAACTCCCATGTGATTGGTTGATTAGATAATTGCATTAATGAGAAATTGAACCGGTGTTCCTAATAATCCTTTAAGTGAGTGTATATACACATTATATAAACAAAAACTTTTATGTTAGATGTGATTAATCGATTTGACAGCACTAATATATTTATTCATCTTTAACAATGATTGAAAGTGGAGAAGAATAGTGCTGCCTTAAGTAATGCCTAATTTGCGTTGGGTTTGTTTAGCAAACTTTGGCACATTCAGGATGATGTTAGCAGTCATTTGATACACCATGATTAATTCACAGTGTAAAATGAGAAGACAGGACAGCGGAGTGGCATTATGAGACTCATTTGCATTGTAACGTATGCTTCTCCTTACACACAGATCCGACAGAGACAAAGTGAAACCCCACTTGAGCCGTCCAAAAACTCAACCTGACACTAGTCAATCAGTGTGTGCTGTTCATCTGATTAGAAATGGATTTTTTCTAACCCTGATCAACACATTGATAGAAAAGACAGACCTATCTCAGGTGCTTTCAGTCAGTCTTGAGTCTTATATTTCAATATACATTTGGAGATTTTTGTTCCTAACTTCATTCCTATTTTAGTTCTGCAATTCCAGTGTTTATAACCATTATAATGTACTTTAATAAATGAATATGCTTGCAAACAATTTTCCAGCTGTCACCCTTACAAAAGCTGTCGGAGTCTGAGCTTGGGCGAATCCTTGAACGCTGCCCACTGAATTTAATCAAAGCGCGGCGATCACTTTCATCTAAACTTTGAACTGGTTTTTCAAAGCGTTTTCAAACAGAGTTATGAAAAGGAGTGTATATACTTTATATCAGATTAGTGTTATTGCACAATGAGCTTATGCACAATTGGTGTGTTTAAATGCATTAAAGTGTTAGTTCACCCAAAAATGAAAATTCTGTCATTAATTACTCCCCCTCGTTCCAAACCCATTAGACTTTCCCGTTCATCTTCAGAACACTTATGAAGATGTTTTTTTATGAAATCTGAGAGATTTCTGTCCCTTCATTTACAGCTACGCAACTACCACTTTGACGCTTCAAAAAGTTCATAAAGAGATTGTAAAACTAATCTATGAATTGAGTGGTTTAGTCCAAATTTTCTGGAGAGACTCAATCGCTTTATATGATGAACAGATTTAATTTAGGCTTTAATTCACATATAAACATTCATCAACTCACATACATCAGTTGTGGTAAACAGAAGCTCAAGCATGTTCGCTTGACGTGCGAGAACCAATGAGGTTCATTCTCGTGTTACGCAGCACGTTTGAGCTTCCGCAATAACCAATGAGGTTTGTTCTCAGACGTCAAGCAGTTTCGTTTGAGCTTCTGTTTATGTTTGCTAATCAATGTTTAAATGTGAATAAAAGCCTAAATTCAATTTGTTTCATCATATAATGTGATCGAGTCTCTTCAGAAAATTTGGACTAAACCGCTCAATTCATATAGATAAGTTTTACGATCTCTTTATGAACTTTTTGAAGCGTCAAAGTGGTAGTTGCGTAGCTGCCAATGAAGGGACAGAAAGCTCTCAGATTTCATCAAAAATATCTTCATTTGTGTTCCGAAGATGAACGAAAGTCTTACGGGTTTGGAACGACATGAGGTTGAGTAAATTATGACAGAATTTTCATTTTTGGGTAAACTATCCCTTTAACCAGACTACTGATTTGTTTCTGTTAACTTACTAGCTACTATTTTGATGACTGCATTGATAAAATGAGAATTGTTTATGTAATAAACCATAAAACAATAATTTTGAATTAAAGACTGTAGTTTATTCAGCATGTCTCTTTATTGTGACAGTAAATTGTATCAGCTTTAGTCACCACAACACTCTCAGTCTCAGCATACTGTAAAAAATAATAGTAATAATAATATTAGATGTGTTTAGTTAGGCTTAAATGGCCTTTCAGATATGACCACAGAACTCGAGTTCAAGTGTTGCCTCAGCCATAGCACTCACTGAACCGTTTAGAGAAATCTTGCTGTTGTTGCTGGCTCAGTGTCTGACCCTTCACATGCCCTCTTTTTAGAAACCACCAAGTACATGTCACTAAAATTTCTTCAGCTACTGCAACTATATGCAGAGATCTATCATGGGAAACATTTTTTAAGGAGTCAAGTTTATTTACATCAATGTAAGACATCCAGACTAAACTGTACCATGAATTCCAGCCCAAGTTCAAGAGGGAAAACTTGTTTTTATGTAATCTTTGTACTGCTACCCTGATTACTGCAAAGTGATCAGTTAACAATTTTTCAATTACGCATAAAGTTTATTTACTTAATAATTGTAAGGCAACGGGTTTCCTCACTTTTTTTAAGTTAGATCAACTAATCCCTTTTTACAGTGTGAGCATTCAGCAAAGTACATTTTCAATGCAACATCCAAAAATAAAGACGTAGCCTATAATAAATAATGATGTTATTATGTTGTGCAAAGTGTATGATAATTCAATGTTGGGTTACACTTTTATTTGGTAACACTTCCTTGTTAAACATGCATTACTATAGGAATTACTATAAATTATGCATAATTACATGCAACTAACCCTCAACCAACCCCTAATCCTAAACCTGACACTATAATAAGTATGTAGTTAATTATTATTACTCAGTACTTAAATATATAATTACACTGTAACAAACACCTTAAAATAAAGTGTAACCCTTTATGATAAGGTGACATAGATACATTGTACTTACTCAAATAAGTAATATTGATTAATTACATTTACCTACTATAGTGTTATTGTTAGGGTTAATGTTATGTTATGGTTTGGTTTAGGGTTAGTTACTTGTAATTATGCATAATTTACTGTTATTACTATAGTAAGTACATGTAACGTGAAACTACGTCAACTAAAATGTTGCTTTGGTAAATAAATTAATAAAATAAATAAAATACATACATACATACACATACAGACACACACACTTAAAAATTAAACCAATAAATATTTTTTTTTTCCCACCAATGAGCTTGGACAGACACTACAATAACAAGCAAAACACATGGGAGCACATGAAAACAATATATCAAATATATCTCTCTTCTGCACACTGGACAATAAAGTCATACTTTACAGAAAAATAAATACATCACCGTTATTAAAAAGGATACTTAAACTCTATAACAGAATGCTTTGAAAAGACTAAACATATGAACAAAACACAAATTTCCAGATTCTCATCTGTGTAAACCCTCTGCTTTGGTCACAGACATTAATGTCCAACATTCATTATTGGCAGTAATGCATTACAGCTCACAAAAAGGACAATGCAGCTTGTTTTCCCCTTTGCTCTGTAGATCTAGCGTTGCTGTATGAGGATTAGTTATATACACTGTATCAAAGGAGACCGAGACAAAATGATAGAGTTTAGAGAGTAGATCACTATATTAAATAATTGACTGTACGTTAATCTCTTGCGGTGCATCTCTCAGCTAGCTAACCAATAATGCTATTGCGCTAAAAGCAAAGGCTAACATTCGTGTGTCCTATTGTTACATACCTCGTCCTCGTGCCTGGAAACGGATTTTGTTAGTTGCAGTCCATTGCTTCCACTGGGGTCATTGTGAAAAGCAAACGCTTGAATCAACAGCAGACCGTGTCGCGTGCATTTGTATCAGTTTCGCTGCTCAACTGGATGTTACATTGTAACAAGTTGGAGGAAACAGATAAGGCTTGTCATTGGTCGATCCGTGGTCATGTGATCAAATGAGGGCTATAAAGCAGGGATGAAGGGCGGTGAGCGCACGTGAGGAAATGGGACAAAACACTCGAAGAACAGCACATTTGGACACTGGCTAATTCTCATGTGAAGTGTTGTTGACTCATCTTAAGAGTGTAGGCTCCTTGATCTACTTGAACTGAGGCACTTATTAAAATGTATCATTGTCATTTATGAAATCAAAAACAAATTTAATAGGAAATTCACGCATGCAAACACTATAAAATTACCATTTCATTTGAATAAAGACGTCTATAATAACGTCCAAATGTGAAAATGCTACTATTTAGCATTTTTCTAATTTAATATCTTTACTATAAATTAAAAGAATAACAACTTAAGTACAACGCTGCTAAATATTTGCTTGAATGTCACCAGCACTTGAGCTACCTTCACTCCACATTTGAGTAAAACCTAATGACCGTGTTATGCCACTTGGTTGATAATTGTCCAAAGGCCATTGTGTACTTCAATGAAAGCAACAACATCTGACCTTTTGTAAAAGAATCCCATATGGCCAGTGCCCACATGTTTATAGAATGAATAAAACTTTTCAAAATTCTACAATGTTAGACAATGCTTTGAACTCCAATGTATGCATATAATATAATAGGCATGCCTGATCAATTTAAATGGATGTTTATGATGCTCTGTGTGGCTATGGGCGTCTTGTAAGAAGCTTGGTGGCGCACGTGGTTAAGCACATAATAGATTAACACAATAAGCGTTTTGCCGAAGTGATCCCACCTACCACAATACATGGCTTATATTGCTACAAACTCCACGGGTTATTTATACAGTTTAAAGCTGCATTTGATCTGAACTGTGATTGCAATGCACGCGGATAGTGAGAGCCTGACCTAAACTGGCTTTAATTAAAAATAGATCATTAGGTTATATATCTGCGTATTTGTACACTGATGCTTTGCAATCTGCCATTCACATGATGTCGCCTAGTGGTTGAAATACAGAAGTGCTCCGACAAGAGGCGATGGCATCGTTCGTGCTTTAAACTTACTATGTACAATATTATCTTAAGTGAATAATGAGAAGGGGTTGAACGTTTGTGTGTCTTTTCTTTCTTTCTTTCTTTCTTTCTTTCTTTCTTTCTTTCTTTCTTTCTTTCTTTCTTTCTTTCTTTCTTTCTTTCTTTCTTTCTTTCTTTCTTTCTTTCTTTCTTTCTTTCTTTCTTTCTTTCAGAAATAAGAATAGGCTAATTACACAACAAAAAGTAAAACATTTTATAAATTTAAATATAGCACTACCTTATATTTGATTTGATTATGATTAATGTTTGGTTGCCTTTGAATATGTGTGCATTGTTCAAGATGTTGTAATAAAATTGTTTGGATAAAAAAAGTAACTAAACACTAACATAAACTAATACCATAGCATATATTTGTGTCATATGGCACACGATTTATGACAGTAATATAATTTCGCATGGACGAAGAAAAATAGATTATATGATGAAGAAGATAGAAAAAGAAGACATGCATGCTTCCACAGCTTTGGCATAACGATACATATTAAAATCGACGCGCCATAAGTTTTTATTAAATGTGTAAAACTAAGAAACAACGTTTCTGTCAAAAGACTGTAAATATGAGACACAATTCAGTGGTTTATTCTGTGGTTTATGAGTGACAGCGCTTCACCACTGACCAGTGTCTTATTTTATAATTTAATGTTGAATTATTTATAGCCTATTTCAACATAAAGCAGAATGCTAAGAATACAGAAAAAAAAAATAGATGTAAGCAATTGCCTTGTGTCTGATGCGTAAGACATTTTATTGTATAGGATGTATATTTTCTACCTTGTATTCTACAAACTGGGATCACCATGTTAAACGGATTTAGAGTATTTTCAGGAGAAAATGAGCAACTTGTCCTCTTTACATGAAGTTGAATGACTATGAATGATTCAACAGTATAGCAGGAATGCATTGTTTTATTCATCATAAAGTTATAACTCAAGGCCAAAAGCCTTTTCTGGTTTTCTATTACAACTTCACAAGCAAAAGAAAAAAAATGTGCCAACTATGCGATTTAAAAGACCAGTTAGTGTTAAACGTTTATTTGAACTACATATTTTATATACGATTTTGGGGGCCAAACTTTTACAATATTTTTTCCATGGCCTTTTTTTGTGGACGTGTTTTTTTTTTAAAGACCCAGTTTCTTACGTTTAAATTTAAAATAAAATCTAATCGGTATAGGCTATATCTATTTATAACCAACAGAATTGAATAACTTTTTTTTTTTAATATTTGAAGTTATCATTTTATGATGATCTCAAATCCTTATTTTGAGAGGACCTATCCTGTTTTATCTTGGCAAGACTTTCGTTTATTTTTTTACAAGATTAAATTTAATATCTTAATGTGTTGATAATGTTATAACCTATTTGTTTAGTAAGCTGATAGATTAGAGACAAGAATTAATAAACCAACGTCGGTGAAAGATGACTAATCTGATTTAAATGGTCAAGAAGAAATAAAGATGTTCGAGACTATAAAGCAGAAATGTAGTGTAAAACATGTGGCAGGAAAACTAAGAGCTACGAAAAAAGACTTAAAAAACAGAAATGGTGACATAATTATCATAGAAGAATTCCTATTTGTATGCATTGCTTTTTTTTAATGTAGGCTATTTTTGGATAAAGTAGGCTAATAGATCCTGCCAAAAGCATCACTGAGCCGCTTTAAAATTTAACTTATTGAAATAATCGAAGACATTTCAACAGTCTCACGACAAGTTGAATGTTTTGACTATGTGTTTTCCCTTTATTTAAAGAGAGTGCCCGAGCACGCTGAGGAGGAGGAGGTGTGGCGTTGAGCTAGACCTCCTTAAACTCAGATGTCGAAGTTCCTGATTCAGAGCTCGGTTGGTGCGTTCAGAACAGAAACAGGCTGCCCTCACTGGGCGGATCAGACTTCTCACTCCAGCTGCGTGGACGGGACCACACATTTCGGAACTCCCCGAAAGAAAAGAAATTAATTTCACTCGTACTTTGAGCCCTCAAAGATCGAGAATCAGTCAAAGTCTTCTTCGCGTATTTCAAAAGCTCTCCACAAACGCGAGGATGATTTTTTTTAGATGATCGTCGCATCTAAAAATCTGAATGGACGTTTATGCATCGGTGCTTCACGAGGACATCTGAATCCTCAATGTGACCTCAAGGTTTCTGGCTACCAGGAGGTTCGGGAACATCTGTTACATTTAAACTATAATAATGCAACATCCTTTGGAGATTGGGGCGCACTTCTACCCCCATGATGTCCATCCAGACCAAAGGTCTCACAGGTACAGGAGTTTCATGATTGAAGAGATTCTTACAGACCATCCGGATCACAAGGTATCAGGTCCCACTGGAGACCTTCTCAAATTTGGAGTACATGCCCTTTTGTCCGCCAGACCATACCACAACCACTTAGGTAAGTAGGCTACCGTGACCTTTCAGTCAGACAATATTTTGAGATCCGGCATGGGCAATCCTTTAATCTTAACCTTCTCTTAATACAGGGACATTCAAATCGCAGAACCTCTCTATTTGCCTACTCAAAGACAAAATACTCCACGTTGTCTTTGCAGACCAATACAAAGCAAATCAGATATCTCAGACAGAAATATATATGCAATGAAGTGGACCGAGCAAGCTTGTGAAAATTGCAAATGCACGTTCATTTCAGGCCCACTGCATGCAATTCATGCTTTCTTTTCTGTTGAGAATGGGAAAGAAAACTCTAGCCGCTGCAAATAGCCTAAATAAATAACACAACTAAATATATTTCTATTTTTAATCACAATTTTAAAATGTGAAGTAAAAAAAAAAAAAGTGGTACCAAAGTTGCAACCTGCATTGATAAATGCTCTGCTTTTCAACGACTTTGAATTGAAGGAAATTCTATTGAAAACTGCGAAAATCGAGTGGAAGTGACTAAAGTTACTGTGAAGTTAAATGGTTGGAAATAAAGATGTTTTTGTAATGAACACAGTTTTACAGTGAGGCAGCTAATTTCGAGGTTGACGCTGAAATATTCATGTACGAAAAATAAGAGTCAATTTTTAAAATAGATTTAAGCGCAAATGAACCTAAGACTCGTGCATTTAAATAAACCTTTTTTCTGTTTTGAAACAGTTATTCAAGATTTCCAGGATCCTTATGTAAATCCTTATGAATTCAAAAGTATAGTTCAATTGTATCTAGGCTAATAGCTAGATCGATCAGAGAAATTTTATTTTTATATATTGAAATGTATATTCTTATTTTATAGACCTATAGGCTATAAATCAGCACATTCACGTTGATGAACCTTTATGGATCCATCCAAACTCTTTTGTTTTATTTGACATGAAAATGCCAAGAAGTATTAATTCAGACTAAATTATCATGGCTAACACATGCACACAACTGTTTGATTTCCAGTTCTGAAAGCAGACCAGACCAGTATCCTGAAGTTCCCAGTGTCTCCTCTGTCCTGCTCACTCGGGTCACCGCTGGGCACCGCGCTTCTGTCCGGAGCTGCGGGTCTGCAGATGGGCTCTTCATCCCACCATCTCCCGCTGGACCTCCATCTTCGGGGTAAACTCGATCCTGGAGCTGATGCAGTGAGCAAGACGAAGAAAGGAAGGAGGAGTAGGACTGTGTTTACCGAACTACAGCTGATGGGCTTGGAAAAACGATTTGAGAAACAGAAGTATCTCTCGACTCCTGACAGGTAAGCACGCTTTTAATGTAAAGTATTTTACGTAAATGTCAATGTTCGACTTTTTTCCAACTGTATTGTTTTGTTTACATGTAAAGAACAGTTGCAGCGATTGTCTGAGAAATGGCTTAGTCGACATCTTTATCTTTTACAGAATAGACCTGGCAGAGTCTTTAGGCCTGAGTCAGCTTCAAGTCAAAACATGGTATCAAAACAGAAGGATGAAGTGGAAAAAAATCGTAAGTTCTAAT